GCCCGTATAGCCTGATAGACTGCCGGTAGTCACACAAGGGCTGATAAAGGTAGTTGTGGTATGCCAGGCTTCGAGTGTCTCTCCGGCCGCTTGCTTTCTCACTCATCACATAACTTTTGCGTCTTGAAAAGCGAAGATATGCCCAGTAGCTACGTAATGCTCTGCCACCAACGAGAGTTGGTTCTGTCTTTGCACCGCTCTTGCATGCTCAGCGATGTGCGTCTATAATCGATTACCAGTTTCCCCGACGTAGTTCACTTCACAGAACCTGAACTTCATCTGGTACACGACGTTGGTCCTTTCACCTCGTGATAGAGAGCCTTTGGTTTAATCACCGAACTTCTTATTGTTGCCTCGAGTCTATGGGTGATACCCATACCCAGTAGTTACAGGAGTCGAACGGCTGCTTCCGAAACTTTCGTGATGTAGGGTAGCGCCCACCAGACTTTGGGTAGATTGGCAGTTGACTTTCTAAATGGATAGGTCCATCTATTGCGCTCTATAAAGTCCCGAGGATACCCGTTGGTGGTAAAAATCTGACGCAGATAGAGGAGTTCGGCCACTTTGTCGGCTACTTCACTGCAATGGGACTCAGCTCTGTTGTAGGGACTTCGCACACAACTACGTTTGTGGCACAACGGGTGATTGCTGTGGTAGCCCAGGTAGCCCGTGTTGACCACTTTCCTGTACGCCATCGTCTTCAGGTTTCCGTTAGTCTTGCGATAAACCACGACATCTAGGAATGCTATCTGCTTATTTTTAAATGTCTCCATTCTGAACTGAATGGCCGGCAGAATAGAGTTCAAGAGGCCATGACAGTTCTAGACTACTTTCCGCTTGAGAACGACAAAAGTGTCGTTCAAATAACGCGTCTAAAATGTTGGCCTGTGGGTGACGAACACTAGCGCTTCCAGCATCTGGAGGACCGCTTCAGCGATTAAAGCGGATAGGGATAATCCTATTGGTGTACCTTTAGTTTGCTCGTGCACCGTCCCTTCAAAGGTAAAATAAGTTTTGAGGCAGTACTTCAGCAACTGACTAAAATGTCTGCCTTGAGGTGTTTTTGTTACCTCGGTACATTGGCTGTCAAGAAGGTCAATTAAAGTTTCAATGGCCAGGCTTTGCGGGATCGAGGTGAATAGTGAGGTGCTTTTGAATGGCGAAGATGACGAACATGTCTCGTATTCTGAGTTACCTTAACAACCACCCCGTCTCTTACAAACGCAGCCGCGTGCGAAAACTATGTCGCCGAGTAGAAACCCCCTGCACCAAACTAATCGAGAAAAAGACCGAAGTCCATTTTCTGCGGAAAGTCTTCACGATGAATGAATATCGTGGCAGCTTCCTCGAAAAATGCAGACGAGAAGCCAAAGGAAGAAAACCAAAGGGGCAGCCAGAACCAAAATGCCGGCGAGCAATACCTTATCTTGCTGATATATCCTAAGCATTCACTCGACTGGTCAGCGAATTTGGGACTGGCGTCCCTCACAGACCGGAAGCGACAATCCGCAGGCAACTCATGCGGTCTAAAGACCCAATACACGTTAACCAAAATCCGGTGTTATTTACCGGCTAGGCTGTCTTTGTGGTCAAGCCAATTATGTTGGTGAAACCTGCAAACGGGTTCTCAGGAGACTGCATGAGCACGAACTCGCTGTGTGACGGAAGGACAAACTTCCCTTGGTAGCCAACCACGCATGCTCGCCCAGGCATGGCGTCGAAGTCGAAAGCGTCAGAATACTGGGTCAGTAAGGCGACCGAATTTCACGCCTGCTGTAAGAAGCATGACACTCACGCGACGATTCTATTAATAGACATATTGATCTTCTGGATGCTTATCAGACGTTGCGCGAACAAATAAATGACAGAGCCGAAGGTTACTCACGGCGGAGGTGAGCTAATTGAGCAGACGATTCGATCGCTGGGACAACACTTTTATTCGCCTGACGTTTCGATATCCGTTGTGGATTATTTATCTGAGAAATGAGCAGAAAGTAGTAGCAAAAGCGGGTAACACATGCGCAGGAAATTGCAGTATTTATAGGACAGAGGCATTACTGCACAAGCATGACCAATAACGACAATTAACGATAATCGTCCTCTTGTGTGTTGATCGTTTGCTTACCGGCATACGGGCCCTGACTTGTTGAATTTTCATCGCGCGTGATGGAATTGGACGTGATTATTGTTCGGCTATCTGGTCCTTCGGTGTTGGCATAAGACGACGCGGTGGCCTGTGCGTTCCCCAAGTGGCAACTTGCTTTGGCCAAATTGAGCCTTAGCACCAAATATGGATTGGGCAAGTCGTTGCACTTGTTTATGGACTGGGGGTCCGTGAACTATGACTTAAGTAATTCCCGGGTCACACGGTTGTCACCTCTTGCTAGAATTTCGGCCTCATTAAATTCGGATGTGTGGCCGGGTCTCGTCGAATCAGCCGCAACTTGAGGATTGGCATCATTTCGCCGCACTGTTACCGTGTGTTCGGCAATTCGCGTCTTGAGAAGTTTGCCAGTTTCTCCGGATGTCGAAACGTCAGGCGAATGAAATTGTCATCCTAGCGATCGAATATTCTTCTCAATTACTTCCCAGGACTCGTGTGTTCGCTTGTAGAGGTGAGCTAAATAAGCAGTGATCTGAACATGTTTTCATTCCTTGAAAATGAGCTCGCGTTAGAGTTCGAAACGTCGGGCAACTAAATAGCTGGTCCCGGAGAACGCCTTCCTGTCTTCTATTTATTTATTCATAATACAGACTTCCAACTCGGACTACATCCAGCTCATTTACTTGCGGAGACTCATTCTAGGTTCTTGTTACTGATACGCTGATTTTTTGGTAATAGAATCGGTTAATAGCCACCTGCCGACACACTGAACATTCGCTCATTGTCTCGCTTGCTCAAGTAAATTCTCCACACAAAACCATCGAACCTTGGCAAGTTATCGGTATATTGCAAAAAATCCTATTGCCCGAAGAAAAATCGGACGATGATGAGAAGGAGGAAGAAATAGCTTGAGTTGCAGTAATTTTGATGTTGGTTCTGACATAAGGGCAACAGCACATGCGTGTTCTCAAATAAAAAGGTACACCTAACCGCCCTGCCCCGTCTTATAGGCAGGATGGAGAAGTAGGGAGAACGCAGTGCAAGACTGCCTCAGAGTCTTTATTGTCGGCGGAGTAAAAGTGGGAGATGTTTCGCTAATTTGCCCCTTTATGTCCCAGTCCTGCTGTGCACACCGCGAAGGGCACTCTTGGACTCGATAGGGTGGCAGGATTTCGATGATTTTGCACCTAACGTGTAGATCTGTCATGCAAGAAGCAGGATGATAACACTGCCTCTATTAAGAGAAGGTTACGCTTTGGGAGAAGGGGGCGTTGAGGGTGTGTTTTGCCTGCTACATCACGTCTGCACTGCTAAAAACACGATTACAGACGACCGTGGAACGTATTGAGAACGAGGCGATTTTTTTTCTGCCTGCACAAATAAACTATGATCCGGTAGATATTTAACCATCCAAAAGGAATCCGTATGAGTGCGAATCTCCCCAGGAGGATTTCGTCGCTGTGCCGCACACAACTTTTCGGCCATGTCACCTGCGACGAGTATGTTTGCCGTTTTACCTCACACGCACCTACGTGACAATTTACGCAATTAAGACATTTTGGATTTTCATGTTGACGCTCCTGGAAGCAAGCGGCATCCCTATACTTAGGAGGGTAAATATATTCCTGGCCACCTTCCTATAACTCTTATAGAACCTCCCAACAGCAACAACAAGAGTACGAGCTATTTACTTTTCTTTTGCTTCACCTTCTAGGTAAATATAAACCTCAGAGACACTTGTGGGGCCTTCAGCATTGAATGCCCTGACGAAGAAAGTGAGAAGGTTATCTATCTGAGTGACACTAGGAAGGACGTTGACCTCTATGAGGAGCCATGGAGAGGTAAGTTAACCTTTTTACATGCATAATGCGAATTATGTTTTACTGAATATGTGTGAACATTTTTTTAACAGTTTGGTATTTTAAGAAAAGGTTTTTTGTGAAAAAATCCTTTCATGCACGGGTCTGAGCACCGCCGTTATTCCCTAACAGATCACCAAGAAATGAGGGTTTGGGCGGGCCTCTCTGGAAGGCCATATACGGGTTCCTTCCAAGTGCGTCCACAGGAGACCCTGCGGCTCAATGCTCGTTTCAGACCGCCCGCTGCAGATGCCCGTTTCGCGGCCAGACTCCAAGTTACCGTTCTCAATAATGACTATGATGCAACAGACATTGAGCTCATCGGTGAGACACGGGAGGAGAAATCAGGCGTGCATTTAACTGGTCTGCCTCGACTGGAACGTGCACGAGCTGAAGCCATCCAATCTGCCATCACCAGCTGGGCTGCCCAACCACCAAATGATTGTCCTTTCTCCTTGGAGACGACACTTCCGAAACCGCTGGGAGAATCTTGGCTGAAGGAGCTTGACGTGGCTGCAGTTGACGGTAAGTTTTCTTACCAGCTTATGAAAATTAAATCCCAAGTATTAAGTGCTTGACTGAGAAGTTCCACGCAAAAGGGTGATTCAAAGCATTTTTGGCCGGCATTGCTTATAGGGCTTCCCTAAAAATGATACAAGAATAGGGATACTTCGCGTACGCAATACTGGCGGCCTTGCGCTAAATTCCAAGAAATGTTAATATCCCTGTGACCTAACGTTAACGATAATTAGACCGTCGATTACGACTATCTTCACCATGCGATCCAGAAAAAGCTGGTGCTAGGAATCGCACGTGGATTAGTTTTCAGGGACAGCAGACTTGCGCTGCGTCTACCGCGTTATCTCCTCCCTAACCCACCTGTTTCCGATGTCGAGACAGAATCAAGAAGACTGGAGACGAAATCGGTCGCAGGTGGGCTGTGTGGCAGGCTCTTGCCCACTCAGGTGCATATAAAGGTGTTGTTTTGAGTTGACCCAATTGTGAAAAAACTCTAGGCGTTTGGCGGGATTTGAACCCGCGCATCAGAGAAGACCTTTGCGGGAGGTCAATGCTCTATGCGCTAAGCTACAGACGCCCCGCCTCGCGCCGTGAATTTAATCACACTTGGGT